TAGATACATAGATACGTACATACTTGCATACATACATATATGCACAGATACATAGCTACATAGATACATACGTACATACATACATACATACATACATACACACACACACACATACATACATACACACATCCATCCATCCATCCATCTACACACACACATACACAATAAACCGCAAACCTTCTCCTCTAGACCCACCTGCTTCCCATACTTCGGTCTCTCAGAACTCTCATCGGCCGTATCGTCTCCGTATTTATCTACGTTAACCACAGCCTCAGCATCTGAATCCTCTCCGCCACTCAACCCAGCAGCCTGCACCGCTCTGTGCACATGGCTTAGGTGGGGGTTAGCATCCACCACACCCCTACCACTGACCGAGTGTCCCTCTGCCGAGGTTGTTGCATGGTCCGTCGTCGTATGTGTCTGCATGTGTCTCTGAGTCTGTATCTCTCTTTCTGTGTGTGGCTGTGTGTGTGTGTGTGGCTGTGTGTGTTCGTTGTCTTCGCCTTGTACTTGCATCCGTGCCACAATGGCCGTCACCAAACTACGCCCCTCCACACACACACACACCCCATCACTGTACAGTAAACTAAGTTCAGCGGTGGTGCCTGCGTGTGCGCGGGTGTCCTTCTCCTGCATATCCCGCACGGCGTCATCCTCCTCTTCCAAACTCCCACTGGCTGATTTAAACCTGGTTTTTTCTATCCGCCGGAAGGTGGAGGTGTATGTCTCGGTCTGGCTGTTGCGTAGGGCCTGTGCCTGTGCCTGTGCCTGTGCCTGTGCGTGTGGGTTGTGTGTCTGTGTGTACGTGTGTGTGGGTGATGGCTTAGACGCACCCACAGAGCGTAGGCGCATGCGCAGAAGTTCGTGCGAGTGGAACAGCTGAGTGAAGAGCATTTGACCGTCCTGCGTGGAGTGGGGTTGTTATACGCAGATGAGGATAGGGTTTTGGGTTTAAGGGCTTCGGGTTTTGGAGTTTTGGGGTTAGGGCTTCTTTAGGGTTATAGGAATGATATAGTGCCCATCGGTGGACAGGTAGAGTGCATGAACACAGGGGAAGGTTATTGTGAACAGTGGTAAGTGTAAGGGCAGGCAACTGGCTTTCTAGAATAGGTCGAATTATAAGATGAAAAACAGGAGAGTAGCTTCATGGACTGAGATGTTTATAAACATATGAGATGGAACACAGAAGAATAGCTTCATGGACAGAGATGTTTATAAACATGTGAGATGAAACACAGAAGAATAG